GAACACACTGGCTGGATTGGCCACCTAATTTCAGCCTGAATAGCACAAACTAAAGACTCTAGACAACCAATCTGCCCATGTAAACTAGCAATCTGCTTACAAATAGGAGAGTATCCAAACTTAAAAAGAGAACCATGAAAAACAGCTGAAAAACAAGTGTTGCACTGAACTAAACCAGACTGCTGTGGCTTGTCAGCTGCTAGCTCCTCCAGCAACTGAATCAGATGAGGAGGCAGCGTGGAAGTCATCAAAGCAGCCTGAGAGCTCCGAGGGGAAAGAGGGAATGGAGCTGTCAGAGAGAGAGAGACAGAGGCGGAGCCTTCCTTGTTTAGATTTTTAGTTGTGTGATTCACGTGCTGTTAGGTGCGCAGGCCATCAGCTTGATCCACTGGACATACTCCTAGTTTTCTCCAACTTATGTTGAGCCACTCCCCACCCACCCCACAACTTCTGGTGCTATGCAAATGAAAATAAAAATGAAGCCAGTAAACAAGAAAATTGAAGAAAGAAAAAAGAAAAAGAATAATAGAAAAGAGATACAAAGAAGTAGTTCTCAATCTACTTTACAGCAGTTTTCCTTAGAATTATAAAGGGACCTCTTTACTATAACTTAAACCTCTTCCTTCTGCTGTATTGTCTTGCCTAATCATCAAAATCATAAATCATAAATTCATTTGTTTCCTTTTTATGTTAAAAAGTCCATAAGGGATTTCTAATCACCAATAATCATCAATATTATTTTTTTTTCCTCTGATCAAAGAAATTACTTTGGCCATCTCAGCAAGTTCCATCATCTTCGCCATCCATTCTTCTATTATGGATATTGCTGAGTCTTTCCATCTTTGTATATATACAATAATCTCACTGCAACTATCACGTACAAAGACAAAGTGCTGTGATTTTTTTTCCCAACTGTTTGTCCACCAATCCCAAGGAGAAGACTTCTGATCTCAATTGTATATTCATCTTTAAAATCCTCTGAAAATTCAGAATTTTCTACTTTTTTTTACAGTTTCACTAAATATAACAAAATGTCCCTTGGTGTTGTTGAGATTTCCTGTGTAATGTTTGAAGTGCTTTTATACATTCTATACCAGTGATGGCTAACCTTTTTGCCATCGTGTGCCAGGAGGGGTGGAGAAGGTTTGCGCACATGCGTGCCCACACCCATAATTCTATGTGCCCCACCCTGCACATGTGCATGCAACCCCCTCTCCCCCCCCCCCGCTCCTGGCATGTGGTATATCCCTCTGCCACCAGTTTTCACCAGTTTCAAAGATTTTGAAATTTTTGAGGTTTTAGTCAAAGATTCTAGTCAACTATTTATTCTGTATGTATTTGCAATTGTGAATGGATTGCACTCTGAATGGAATCATGTTTTGGCAATGAATTGCTACTAAGAACAAATGAAAGAGCCTTGATAGTACAGGGGTTTAGTGCACCCTGTAATTAACACAGCTGCCTGCAATTTCTGCTGGTTCGAATCTCTCCAAGGCTCAAGGTTGACTCAGCCTTCCATCCTTTCTAAGGTAGGTGAAATGAGGACCCAGTTTGTGGGGGCAATAAGCTGACTTTGTATAAAACATACAAAAGAATGAAGGCTATTGCTTAACGCATTGTAAGCCGCCCTGAGTCTCCGGAGAAGGGCGGCATATAAATCAAATTTAAAAAAAAAAAATGAAATGAAAGTATGAGGGCATAACAAATCCAGAAAAGAAAAGAAAAAAGATCTTTGTACAAGAACAAATGTTTGGTCAGAAATATGAAAACAATTATAATTCAGAGTTAATAATTCATTCAACTAATCTTTGAGAAGGCCAAGAAGAGTGGATAAACTATTTCTGAGAAGAAAAATGAGAAAAACAAAGAGGTAAAAACTCATCGACAGTGAAAAGGTCACTAAAATAAACTGGGATTGTTTAAAGAAGAGCTCAGAAAAATATATCTGCTGCTTTGATGTGTATTCCGCTCTGCTTTCTCACAGCTTCGTTATCCCTGGAGCTTCCATCAAAGAGTTTGACCATGGATGTCAAATGTGACAAGGGGTGGGCTGCTCGGGGTTCGCAGGGTTTCAGTAGAACCTCCAGCTAAGATTCTGGCAGTTCAGAGAACCCCCAAATCTAAGGTGACCAGACGTCCCGCTTTTGGCGGGACAGTCCCGCTTTTGAGCAATTTGTCCCGCGTCCCGCGGTGTTTCAAAAAAGTCCCGATTTTTCTTGAGCCCCAGCTGATGGCTAGAAGAAGAAAAAACTGTTTAAACTCTTGCCCGGGGCTTCAAAGGGCCGCCTACAGGCAATCAGTGTAAAGCAGTTTTTTTTTCCCCTAGCTAAGCTTCAGAAACGAAACCGAAACCAGGGTCTTTGGTGCAGCGTGACAAAATGAGGCAGAGAGAGATTTATTTTTATTTTTCCTCCCCAAAAAAGGTAGGTGAAAAACTGCAAACAATGGGAAATTTAGGAGGAGAGTTCAAGATTTTTAAAACACAAAGGAAAAAAAAGCTGTATTTAACTAGGGAATTGTAATAATTGAGATACTATTAATTGTATATTGTGTTGAAAGCAGAAATGGTTAAGTTGTGGTTCGGAGGAATATATGGGAGAAATTATTTGGTTTATTATTATTGGTAAGTATAATTAATTGATTTGTAAGAAATTGGATTGCATGGAAATAATTGGAATATTCATGTTCATATTGATTAATATACAAAAAAGATAGTTTTATAACTAATTGATTTATATTAAAATGTTGAATTTGTATTAAACAACTGTATTACATAATTACATAATTAAACAATGTGAGGATGGATATAAAAATAGATGACAATGGGAAGGGGTATAATATAGAATAGAAGGGAAAAATTGAATTTGATTAAGATTAGAGATGAGGATGAAGGGTAATATTGGTTTTTTTAAAAAATAGATGAGGAATAAATATGGCAAAAAGGAAATATAGAAATTGTAAATTTAATTGAAATGACTAAACGCTGTTTAAATTTGTGAACCAGCCAAATATTCTGTTCAAAGAAAATACATTGTATGTTTGTATGTGTGTTTCTAATTATTGCTATTTATTCATATTTGTTCTCTTTTATTCTTTAAAGTTTAACAATTCATTCTTTATCTTAATATCTTTATATTTGCTTGGGGTTGGCTTTCTTCCCTTTCATCTTTTTTATTGTACAGCAATCTTTCTCCTCAAACCTACCACCACTCTCTTTTCTTTCCTTCTTACTTTCTCTTCCCCCCACCCTCTTTTTCTCCTCCCTACTTCCTCTTTCTTTCTCCTTCTCCTCCTCTCTTCCTCCCTCTCTTACCCTCACTCCTACTCTAATTTCCATTCCTTCATCCCTCTCTATTGCTGTAATCCTTTAATGCATATGGACTACTCAGAGGGCTGAAAAAGTTATTTTTGACTGGTCCTCACACTTTTGACCAGTCCTCGAACTTACGACTGTCCTCACATTTTACATTTTTGCCCTATCTTGTCATCATGGTGAAGAGAAGCAGTTGTGAAATGAGTGACATGGTTGTTAAGAATGCTGCATGGGCATAAATGTGAGGATGGTCATAAGTGTGAGGACCAGTCAAAAGTGCGAGGACCTGTCAGAAATGACTTTTTTTCAGCTCTCTGGTTAGTCCTTTTGTGCATATGGACTACTCAGAGGGGCTGAAAAAGTTATTTTTGACTGGTCCTCACACTTTTGACCAGTCCTCGAACTTACGACTGTCCTCACATTTTACATTTTTGCCCTATCTTGTCACCTTGTTGAAAAGAAGCAGTTGTGAAATGAGTGACATGGTTATTAAGAATGCTGCACGGGCATAAATGTGAGGATGGTCATAAGTGTGAGGACCAGTCAAAAGGTGAGGACCTGTCAGAAATGACTTTTCAGCCCTCTGAGTAGTCCCTATACACATAGCCATGGCCACCCGGTCACATGACCAGGTAGCCACGCCCACCCAGTCACATGGCCTCCAAGCCACGCCCACACAATAAGCCACGCCCACAATGGTGTCCTTCTTACCAATGTTAAAATCTGTTCACCTTACCCTATAGACATAGCCATGGCCACCCGGTCACATGACCAGCTAGCCACGCCCACCCAGTCACATGACCAGCTAGCCACGCCCACAAAATAAGCCACGCCCACAATGTCCCTCTTTACCAATGTTAAAATCTGGTCACCTTACCCAAATCCCATTCCAGGCTGGCCACACCCACCCTGACCCACTCCTCCCAGGAGTCCCCACGCAGCTGGTTGTGGATGCAGGTAAGTGCAGGGCATCTGCAGAGGGTTGGGGAGGACGAAAAACGGGCCTACCAGAAGTTCAGGAAGGCAGAAATGAGCACATTTCCGGCCTCCAGAGGGCCTCTGGAGCCTGGGGAGGCCATTTTTGCCTTCCTGAAGTCTCAAGGGAAGCCTCTGGAGCCTGGGGAGGGCAAAAAACACCCCCCCACACACAAACACTGTGGTACAGGAAGCCAACTAGGCCATGCCCACCATGGCCATGCCTACCCAGCAACTGGGCAGAGAACCAGGGGTGGAATCCAGCAAGTTCTGACAGGTTCTTGAGAACCAGTAGCGGCAATTTTGAGCAGTTCAGAGAACTGGCAAATACCACCTCTGGCTTGCCCCAGAGTGGGGTGGGAATGGGGATTTTGCAATATCCTTCCCCAGGAGTGGGGAAGGAATGGGGATTTTGCAGTATCCTTCCCCTGGAGTGGGGTGGGAATTGAGGTTTTGCAGTATCCTTCCCCTGCCACACCCACCAAGCCACGCCCATAGAACTGGTAGTAAAAAAATGTGGATTTCACCACTGCAGAGAACCGCTTGCTAAAACTTTTGAAGTTGGACTGAAGTGGTTTATAAGTCTGATTGATCGATCAGTCAGTCAGTCAATCAGTCTATTCCAAAGAGTTATGGAATTCAGCCCTATGCAAATTAATCTGATCTGGTAACTGACAGTGGTTTTGTAAAAAATCAACTGGGTGAAAGTTTACACTAAGACACTGCAGGCATGCCGGTAAACAGAACTAGCAAAGTTAAGTTTTGCAATCCAATATCTTGAGCAACAGCAGAGATAAAGGAAAACGCACATCTGCACGCGTTTTTCTCTTTCTGGTTTTTTTTCTTTTCTTCTTGCTGTTGAGAAGAGAAGAGATTCTACTCCTTCTGGATCAATCTTCATCTCTTTCCAGGGTGAAGGAACTGCTTTAGCTGACCAAGGAACACTCTGGTAAGCAACACTGATTTCATGTTCAGCTCAGACTCTGCTTTGTAAATTTTAAAGCAAATCTTTTGCAATTTCTACTTCTATCTCTGCCTTCTGAGAAGCTTGAATCTAAGTTCTGGAGAACTGAGGTTGAATGACCATTTAAATAACTCAATAATGTTGCTACTTGGTTAATTTACTTATTTCTCATATGTCATCTCTACTTGGACAATGTTGTTGATGATGAATATGTAGCTTTGAACATCATCCAGATATCTCACGCAATCTATTTTGGTCTATTCACTCTAAATGTTGAATAAAACTACATTAACCCCAAATAATCTCTCCTTAATTTTGTTCTCGATCCAAGGTACCAACCATGTTTTTCCTCCAACCTTTCAACACTTTGCTGCTGCTCTTCTTAGGAGCATCGTTGGCATTGGCTGCTGCTCCGGAGACAAAGGGTTGGGATACAAATTCCTGCACAGTGTTGGCTTGTGGAAACCCAGGAGTCGCTGGTTTACCAGGAAGAGATGGAAGGGATGGCGCCAAAGGAGAGAAAGGAGACACCGGTATAATTTCTGAAATCTCTCTCTCTCTCTCCTCTCTCTCTCTCTCTCTCTCTCTCTCTCTCTCTCTCTTCTCCTCTCTCTCTCTCTCTTCTCTCTCTCTCTCTCTCTGTTTTCGCTGTTGGAAAACTTCCAGCTAGGCTGGAAGGAGGGGTTGAGTGAAGATCTAGCTTAGAGTCTTCCATAGCAGCAAGCAGCATAAACTAGACCTCCCCCCCCCCAAGATCTATGAAGTTGGTCCATCTGGTCATTCCCAGGGGAAGGCAAGAGTCTGGGGAAAATTCTAGAATAAAGTTGCTTACTTTATCTATCTAAGAATGGCTTTAGTTTTCATGCAACTGATCCAGGGGTGGGTTTCACTTACTTATACCACTGGTTCACCCATGCACACACACTCGCTTCACGTGTGCCATCCACGCATGCACCCGGCCTTCCGCGCATACGCTTTGCTCGCTCACGTGCCTTCCGCGCATGCACCCGGCCTTGGAAACATGCCTAAATAGGACCGCATAGACCTGGGGCAGATGGGTAGATCTCCGCTACCAGTTCGCCTGAACTGGTCCAAACTGGCTGAATACCACTTCTGAACTGATCCTTCAGCCTAGCAAAACATCATGTCATCGGCAGACATCCTTTTGAGTTGGAGAGGTCTGATGGATAGATGCTGAGTGGGGCTTGGGAAGGGGATGGCTATTTTGGGAAAATGGAGTCCAAGAGATGCTGCTTTGTCTCAAACCCCAGGCCTCCAAGTGAAGGGTCAACAAGGAGTCCCGGGAAGGCTGGTCCTGCAGGACCAAAGGGGAGCACAGGAGCCCAAGGCCAGAAAGGACAAAAGGGAGAAATGTCAGGTAAGAAAGTTTTTTGATGGCGAGCTTTGCCTGCATGAGAAGGAAGGGGAGTTTCTGATATTTCCAAGAAGAGCTCGAACACGGGTTATTTTGCAATGTCCATCAATAGCAACAGTTCTGCCTTTCTCGCTTTGCTAGCCCCATGTAACTTCTAGCAGGAAGGAATTCCTTGTCTCAAATCCTGGCAGAACAAATGCAAACCTCTTGATCATTTTAATTCAACAAAGTTCTTGAATTCCTGATTCAAGTGTGACTCTGGTTACCTCCATCAAACTGGAAACAATTTCATAATTGATAGCTTATAGGGATTGGGCTCGTCCCAAACTAGCATTTATTCTTTATTTTTATCTAAATATTCTTATTTGACCTAAACACTTATTTTAATGGCAATATGTTTTTTAAGCATGGTGGCGCAGCAGACTAAAGCACTGTTATTAACAGTGCTGTTATTAACATCAGCTGCCTGCAATTACTGCAAGTTCAAATCTCACCAGGCTCAAGGTTGACTCAGCCTTCCATCCTTTCGAAGCAGGTAAGATGAGGACCCAGATTGTGGGGGCAATAAGCTGACTTTGTATCAAATATACAAAAGTATGAAGGCTATTGCTTAACGCATTGTAAGCTGCCCTGAGTCTACGGAGAAGGGCGGCATTTAAATCAAATTAAAAAAAAAAAAAAAAGCAGCCCTTCTTTATATTTATACATCTATCCCCTGGCGAACAAAAAAAGTAAATAAAAGTCTTGCATTTATAAAATAAACTAGTATCTCAATATGAACACTAGTTAATGCTTGATCTGTTAATACCTGCATTCAGGATTTGCATTGAGCTATCATTATAGGGCCGTGATGGTGAACCTATGGCACGCTGTGGGCACACGTGACGTTATCAGCTGGTCTCCTGGTTTCTGACATGCTACCTGGTCTTCGTGGGCACTGGAGTGCCAGTAAACAGCCTGAAAACAGCCAAAAACTTTCCAGGCCTTTTCCGGACCATTTTGAGATTGTTTTTCAGGCTGTTTTCGGGCCGTTTTTAGGCTGCGTTTCAGGCCTGAAAACGGCCCAAAAAACAGCCTCAAAATGGCCCAGAAAACAACTGGAAAACAGCCAAAAAACAGTTATGTTTGCGCTAGCTAGCTAGTCTTTGGTTTCCGGTGCTCCGGTGTACGCATAAGCATGCACATACACGCATGTTCCGGTTTGGGCACTTGGTGCTGAAATGGTTTGCCATCACTATTATAGGGGCGTCATTTGCCACAAGCTGTTTCTCAGTGGATTATTTATTTTCTTTTGGAACTTGAGCTTCACAGTACAATACAGATTTTTCTGGTCTAGATATAATAGACCATGACTGTTCAATCTTTGCCAAGTTTAAGATTGGTGGACTTTAACTCCCAGGGTTCCCCAGCCAACATGGGGAATGGGGAATTCTGGGAGCTGAAGTCCAGAAGTCTTAAACTTGCCAAGGTTGGATACCCCCAACATTAGACAAATAAAATGGGTGGGGGGACTGGGAGTGGCCAAAATAAGGAAGTTAACCATTCAACGTTGTATCTCCTGGACTTCTTGCATAATTGTATGATGAAGTTTGATGTTCTCCAGAGTCTGGGTCATCGGCAGAGTTTACTTGAAGAGAACACATAAAGGATGAGAATAAATGGAATAATGTTGGTGTTTAATTAGGTTTCCTTGTCTCTATTTTTCTCTGTAGCTGTTGATACAGTTCAAAGGCAAGTTGCTGCTTTGGAAAAGACGATCCAGACATTACAAGCTGAAGTTAGCAAAAGCAAAAAAAGTAAGAAAGAATATGGGTTTGGGGGTTAACTTGTTGGTTTGTGTTTGTGTGCAGTATTGGGGGAGGGCAAAGAAAGTAACAATGAGCAGTGTGGCCAACTCTCCCTTCCATTCAGTGGTGAGGAAAGTATCTGCATTTAGGCAAGAAAACCAAATGAAAAGGTACTTGGCTCAATAGTAGTAACTGCAAGAGGGATCTTGGAGTCCTAGTGGCCAATCACTGAAATATGAGCCAGCAGTGTGGCAACACTGAAGCTTCCAAGATTGCATCAGTCAGACCAGCTTCAGAGTTGACACAGTGTGCTGCAGCAGCCAAAAAAAAGCCAATGCAATCACTAGACTAGCCATACCCAATTCCTGCAAATGTTCTTCGTATGTTTAGCCTCCAGCCCTCTAATCCTCTTTGTTGCTCTTTTCTGCACTCTTTCCAGAGTCTCTACATCTTTTTTATAATATGGTGATCAAAACTGGATGTAGTATTCCAAGTGTGGTCTTACTAGGCTTTATAAAGCAGTACTGATACTTCAGGTCTGTCAAAATCCATCTGGATCTTGAGCCTATTTTCTGGAGTGTTTGGTATTCCCACCAGTTTGGTGTCATCTGCACATTTGATGAGTTCCCCTTCGATTCCCTCATCTAAATCATTTCTGAAATTGTTGAAGAATACTGGGTCTAAGACAGGGGTGAAATGCTCTGAAGTCTGCTACCGCTTCGCTTTGCGCACATGTGCACAGCAAGCATTAAGAAGCCTTTTCTGAGTCTGCAAAGGTAAGTAGAAACAGCGAGGGGGGAAACGGCTGTGCCGCGCGATTTAGATTAGCTAGAAAGCAGGATTCCTGATTTCTAGCCAATATAAATCGCACGGCACAGTTGATGGTCGCACAGTTGATTGTCGGAACTTTTTTTTTACTTTTTAAAGCATTTTTTACTACCGGTTTCGGCAAACCAGTAGTAAAAACTGCTTAAAAAGTAAAAAGAAAAGTTCCGACAGTCAGCTGTGTGACAATCAGCTGTGCCGGTGATCATTGGAACTTTTTTTTTTACTTTTTTAAGCATTTATTTACTACCAGTTCTGCTGAACTGGTAGCATTTTTTACTACCAGTTCGGGTGAACTGGTCCAAGCTGGTAGCATTTCACCCTGGTCTAAGACAGAACCTTAGGATACCACACTTTTTACTTCCCTCCATGGAGATATAGTTATAAATAAATTCATGTAAATGTTATCTCTCCAGTGAGGTGGCAATATTCATTGTTATTAGCTGATCTCAAAATAAACCCCAACGAAAAACAAGAAGAAGACACTGTCCATTCTTTTAAATATTGATATTGATATTGATTAGATATTGATCTTTACCAATTTTTCAAACCACGTAGATATTTCCCCCTCTGCTTCTGAATTTCCAAAAACTCCTTGAAGAGCATTCAAGAGATTTAAATCTGGCTACAGATAAATAAGAAGCCTGCAGGGTATATAATCAATGGGCAAAGTGCTTTGAAGAATACACATATAGACAATTTCCAGAGAGGAAAATAAATTAAACTAACAAAGGTTCTATAAGTAAGGCAGAAAAGCTACAAAAATTAAGAATGCTATAGGGAATATCTATCCACAGCTAAACCCTAATGATTTCTGGACAAAACTCTGCTTTGCATTGGGCTAGATCAAGTTACTGGATTGGAAAAGGTGAGCTGGTGGCCCTGATTAGTCCTTGCAGGGAGAACAGGCTTCGCTAGGGAATAAACCACAGTGAAGAAGCCATGACAAATCATTTTGATATGGTTGCCAGCTAATTCCCTAAGCTAAACTGGAAGGAGATCTGTCACTGTGCACCTTCAATGCTTGCCTTGAGTGATGTTCATTCATTGGCCAGAAGCTGTTTTCATGGATGATTTATTTCTGCTTAGTCTTCGCAATGCAGGGGGTGACCACCGTCGGAGGGAAAACATTCGTTTCAACTGGTCAGAGTGACAATTTTGCGAACGGGAAAGCTCTCTGCAGTAACGCCGGTGGAGCTCTGGCGGTTGCCAGGAACGTAGCTGAGAACACGGCCTTGGCGGCAATAGCCAAGAGGAACGGCAAGCACATATACCTTGGTATAAGTGACCTCCAGACGGAAGGCAAGTTCGTGTATTTGAACGGACAGGCGGTGAGCTACACCAAGTGGAAAAGCTCAGAGCCTAATAACTTTAAGAATGGGGAAGACTGTGTGATACTCCTCCCAGACACCCAATGGAATGACATCAACTGTGACCACCAAACATTAATTGTCTGTGAATTTTGATGTGTCTAGAATGTTGCAGTTTGTATTCCCAGGGGCCTCCATGGAAGAAGAAGACAAGGGGCTCAATTGATGTCATGCCATCATCATGCCAACATTGGTGCTCTTAATGCCATGACACCCTGACACATCTTTGACATCTTTGTGGCTTGCTATAGATGCCAGTCCATGTTCTAGGAGAGGACAAAATAACTGCATAAGTGTGTTGATTTTGCTTTCCAGGCTGAAAATGTAAAATTATACTAGAAAAAAAAAGAACATAATAGAGGTACTGTCTGTTTTTCTCCATGTATGTTTTGTCTCACAGTATTTTATTACTATCATTATTATATTTTTAAAAAGTGTCATTCCAAAGTTTCATAACTCTTAGGAAAAGGTGTTGAGCAGAATGATAGAAAGCGCAAATTGTGGAATCAATAGTCCTCTCCTTAAATCTGAAGTTCATCTCAGTTGTTCCGTTGAGATCAAGCTTGAGATCAAGCAAAAGGCCTCCAAATTTCTGAGAAATAGAACATGGAATAAACAGAGTTGGAAGGGGCCTCATAGGTTTTCTAGTCCAGCCTTCCCCAAGAGGTGATGGTTTTGTGTGAGGAACAGTCACACATATGTGCACGTGTGCACACAGCTTCATGTGAGTAGTGTGTACAACCACCCGCTGTGAGCATGAGTGGAGCTGAAAGTGCCAATGGGCACCCCTCACGTGAGTGGAGTGCAAGCCATATGTGCACATATGTGCTAGTTGTTCCCTACTCTAGGAGGCAGTGCTCATCTCCGTTTCAAAGCCGAAGAGCCAGCGCTGTCTGAAGACGTCTCTGTGGCCATGAGGCCGGCATGACTAAATGCCAAAGGTGCACAGAATGCTGTTACCTTCCCACCAAAGGTGGTCCCTATTTTTCTATTGCATTTTTTATGTGCTTTTGTACTGCTAGGTTGCCAGAAGCTTTGACAAGTAACGGGAGCTCACCCCGTTACGCGGCACTAGGGATTCGAACCGCTGAACTGCCAACCTTTTGATCCTCAAGCTCAGTATCTTAGCCACTGAGCCACTGCATCCCTTCTATCTGGTAGCGCTAGTCATATCATTCCCGTGTATTAATAATTTGGGGAGGCGGAGATTCAAAACATTTAAGAGGACTAGACTTCTTTCTCTTTCAGAAAACTAAAGCTCCAGTTACAGTACAGGAATTTTTAGACCTGCATAGAACTCCTTACTCTGGTAGAATAATAATCAGAGACCCTATGAAAGCATTTCCTTTGCAAGCAAAGAATGCTTCTGCACCAGTAGCGTTCCATAACTTATACAACATTCAGATTCACCCATCACACTCCTACACACAAACACAAACGCCCAAAGACCAAAAAAAAATTTGTTCTTATCTTCCACACACTGCCAAGACCAGTAAAATATTGAGACAGTAGGACTGCCTTGTTTTGGGGAAGAGTTTGGTTCCCCCCTTGTGGTCACCTTCAGAATTATACCTTTATGTTGCAATATTTTTAGGATCAGACTCAATAATGATAATAAAGATTAAGAGGTTTAAATATATTTCTCTTTAATCATAACAGGCATTCTATATTCACTGAATATTCACAGATAGAAGCAAGGAAAATGGTGAGGGTGGCTCCTTATATATACAAAGGGCGGAGTCAAGAATGGGAGTGGTGAATTATGAATACATTAGGAAACAAAGAATAAGTTAACCCCCGATATCCCATATATACATTATTTACACATTAGGGAATAAGGCATTTACATCTGACAAATCCCCCTCTAAATGCCGGTTCGCTATACAACACCAATTACATTCAGATTCAGGACAATATAAGACATATAATTTTGAAGTTAAATATTTGTGCTGTTTAGAAGGTAAAGGCTTCGTTAATATGTCAGCTAATTGTTCAGAGGTATCACAATGCACTGCTTTGATAAATCCATCTTGAGACAATTGTCTCACATGTTTAAACTTTATATCTATATGCCTGGATCTTTGTCCAATGGCATCGGATCTGGATATTTCAATGGCTGCTTTATTATCTTCATGCATAACAAAAGGTAAAGCAGGTTTTTTCCAGACATCTGAAATCAAATCATTAAACCATACAAGGTTATTTGCAGCTTTGGATAAACAAACATATTCCGCTTCTGTGGTTGAAGTGGCTACCAGTTCTTGTTTACCAGTGTACCAGTAAACTGGACAGTTATTTAATAGAAAAATATAACCAGAAGTGCTCTTTCTGCATGATATATCTCCAGCCCAATCCGCATCTGCGTAACAAGTAAGTTTTGGTTCTTTGTCATTACTAGGTTCTAATACTAAACAAAAGTCTAATGTACTTTTTAGATATCTTAGAATTCTTTTGACAGCTTCCCAATGATACATAGTTGGTTTACTAACATGTCTTGACAATAAATTGAGAGGTAATGCAATATCTGGCCTGGTCCAATTAGATATATAAAGAAGTGAACCTATGACTGATCTATAAAATGTATTATCTTTGAATTCAGGGGAAGACTCATCAGTGTTTCTAAGGAAATCAGTTTGCATAGGAGTGTCACATGGTTTAGCATTGTTTAAATTGCATTTGTTTAGAAGTTCAATAATCTTATCTTTCTGAGTAAGTTTGAATCCCCTTCTAGTTTTGTTAATTTGTACACCAAGGTATTTGTTTACTTTACCTAGAGATTTCAACGAAAAATGTTCGTTTAGCTTATTTACAAAGGTTTCTCTTCTCTCCTTGTGTTTTCCTATATATAAAATATCATCTACATAAATTAACACGAATTCAATGTGATCATCACTTTTTTTTACAAAGAAACAGTTATCAGCGGTGGTAGCGTTAAAATCCATGGTCTTAAGTACTTTTACCAAACAATCATACCATCTTTTGCCAGATTGTTTTAACCCGTATAGACTCTTGTTCAATAGCCAGATTTCATTCTTATTAGTGTATTGACTGTGTGGTGCCCTTACATATATTTCCTTATCAAGTTTTGCGTGTAAGTACGCAGTCTGTATGTCATATTGAAATACATCAAGATTGAGTGCAGATGCCACTACCAGAGCTGTTTTAACACTCTCTGTTCTCACTGTGGGGGAGTATGTGTCAGTATAGTCCTCCGGATATTTTTGTGCATAACCTTGTGCAACTAATCTGGCTTTGTATAGAGTATTGCCTCCTTCTAGATTCTTAATTTTATAAATCCACCTAGTACCTATGATTGTTTTGTCTTTAGGTGCAGTCGCAGGTGTGAATACATTTAATCCTTGCAAACTTTCCATCTCTTTTTCATAGCTAGTTCCCATTTTTCCTTTTCTTCATAAGGGAGTTTTAATACTTCCTCATATGTATTAGGTGTTATTTGTTCACCATCCATATGCATTATGTAATCTCTGTATTTACCTGGTATTTGATTTCTATTGTTTCTAATAGCTCTTTCAGGTTTGCTATGGTTGTCATGCAAATATCTTGCTTCCTTTTTTGTTAATGTGTCTGTCTTTATTTTGTGCTGACTATTTGTCCAAGTTTTGGTTTTGTTTGTATTTTTGTTGATATTTTGATTTTCTATTGTTCCTTCCTCACAAGATTTTGTATCTTTGTATTTATCTGGAAATATTTCATTAAGATGTAATTTAGACCAATTGGCTTGTTCATGGAACACAGCTGTTCTGGAGACTATAAATTTGTTACTATTATCAATGAATCTGTACCCTTTGGTGCCAGTTTCATATCCCATAAATCTTAATCTTCTGGATACGTTTTCTCCCTTTCTTCTCAACTGTTTAGGTATGTGTACGTCTGCAGTGACTCCAAATATGTGCATGTGTGCTAATTTGGGTTTCCTATTATACATCACCTCATATGGTGTTTTATTCACAATACTGGACCAGGTTCTATTTTGAGTGTAATTTGAATAATGTAAGGCTTCTGACCAAAATTGTTTGCCTAAACCAGCATCCTCTAATGTGCACCTAATCATGGTTTGTAGTGTGGAATTCTTTCTCTCTGCAATCCCGTTTTGGAATGCAGAAAATGGACTAGACGTGAAATGTAGCATTCCTCTATCCTTTAACCATTGGGAGAATTCTTTAGACATGAATTCACATCCCCTATCTGTCATAATTTGTTTTATTCTGATATTATGTTGTGTTTCTATGCGTTTGTAGAATTCCTTAAATTTCTGAAAGGTTTCATCCTTGTGTTTTAATGTGTAAACAAAACCATAGCGACTGTAGTCATCTACTATTGTTAGGAAGTAACGTTTTCTATAAGTGATTGATGGAGTTAATGGACCAACTAAGTCCATATGTACTAAGTCAAAAATTTTGTTAGTTGATCTGTTGGATTTTTTTGGTCTGGGACTAGTTTTTAGTTTAGTGGATTTGCATACTGAGCATTCCAAATAATTTTCACAATTTTTTATTTTGACACCTTCTGCGTGTTCAGTCATTTTTTGTACTACAGGAAAACTTGCATGTCCTAACTTCCTATGTAAGATGTGAGCACACTCATCATGAATTGGTTTACCTATTCTTGGTTTCTTCTCTTTGTGTGTATTTGTGTGATCATGAGATATTTTACATTCATCATTGTCACTGTTACTAACATTTTCATCATCTGCCTCAATACAATCTTCCATATTTGAATCAATGTTATGTAACCATCTTTCTTTTGTTACCAGATAGGGTAGGCCTCCTTTAATCATCACAGTGCCTACATTTGTTTTGTCCTTCTCTAAAGTTGCTTTCCCCTTTGAGAAAACTATATTGATGTCAGAATCTCTACTTAGTTTTATGACACTTAGTATGTTATGAGGTATTTCAGGAATTAACAATACCCCCTCTATTTTTCCTAGACCAGGCAATGTTATGTTTCCTCTGCCTAATACTTGAACCTTTTCTTGATTAGCTACCTTTATTACAAACTTATCTTCTGTAAATGAAGACAGAATATTTTTGTTATTAGTGGTGTGATTGGTTGCCCCAGAATCGATAAGCCAATTATTGTTCTCATTTTGTTGTGTTTTAGTGCTGTCTTGTTTATTTAGTCCATTCAGTGAACCAGATTTTCTCTCTTTTGAATTTCCTCTACCCCCTCTACTTTCTCTGTAATTTGGTGGGCTTCTATATTTATATCTATCTGTGGAAGACTGTCTATAATTGTATCTGCTTCTATATTCTGGCCTATGTCTCTCCTTTGATATTTTGGGACAGTCTCTTCTATTGTGTTCCCTGGACCCACAATTGTGGCATTTAAAAGCTTCATTGTATTTTTCTTGTAAAGCTACCTTCC